CTATCACACAGTAGTTGCACCTCTTACGTTCAACTCCAACCCTCCGATTAGCTGGTGGAGACTGTGCGTGAAAACGAGATACCGTGCATCGGCATCGTTGCCTCACAGAGCAAACTGTACCGTAATCCCACTTTTCATTTGGATGCATCCAGAATGCCGAAATTGTCAGCAGAATGAAAGGGCAACTTCCTCCTGATCCACCATTGGAAAAACCCAACCACCAAACCCTATTCTAGACCTTCTACACCTGCTGTCAGGAAAGTGTCCAACTGTCGAAAGGTAAGGAGCTGTAATTACTGGCCACTTCTATTAGCACCTTATTCTGAAGTGATGCATGCATGTCCATGGAAGACGACCCTAGCTGCGATGGTTAAATTGGTAGTCTAAAGGCATATTGCAATTTGTGTTGGGCACTCGCAACGCGAGTCGGTCAGTAGGAGGAGATCTTTTAGTGAACAAATTCTAGAAATGCATTTCCATGCATCACCTTGGCAGTGTCAATGTAGTAGTGGTGTCGCGTTGATTTATTTTGATGTGGAAATGTCAAACGACATGACCCTTTCACATGAGATAGCCTGATCAGGAGCAATTCTTCCTCCTTCTCCGCCAATTCGCCATCTACAAACATGGTAATTTGGAACGTGCTCGGGTAGTGCAAGACTTGAATTGCTCAATCGCAACACCTTTTTTTGTGGCTTATAAGAATTTCAATGTCTGAAAGTCTGGACTAATTCAGGGTGGCTGTTTGGATTCGGTAGGGGATAGGTGGGTAAGAAGTAGATTGACGAGCCAATGGATGTATGAGGGCATGACTACAGTGAAGATGAGTGGAAGGACTATTTAGCACGATAAGTCATATATTTGATATATCTCCTATTCGATTGCTAGCCATTAATGGCACACGGCGTTCTCTAAGCTGTCCACTAAGTCTACTCATTCTGTACCACACAACCGGTCATCCATTCGGCATCCACAAATTTGCTTCATAACACCAAGACTGTCTTATTTTACTACGTTTTATCACATGCCATCTCAAAGACACACCAAAGAGGCAGCCTCTTTGATC